GTACCAAAACTAATCAAATCAAACTGAATTGTAACCAAGATTCAAATCTGAGATAAACAATCTTAATAAAATTTTGTCAGAGCAAATGCTTGCACCCCTACAAATGACATTCATTATTCATCTTGGTGCATGTGACACTAACCTGAGAGGGCATCTGAGGCTGCTGCATGCCCTGACGCATCCCCATGGCAACATGCCCCCCTTGTGGGAACTGACCCATGGCCGCAAGTCTGTTCTGGAGCTGATGGAGAGATGAGATATATCACCACTAAACAAGTGCAACTAATCACACGTTCACTCAGCAGCTGCACTCGACAAAAAGAATAGGTTAGTTCCACAGCATGTTACTTGAAAGGGTGAAATCAAAAGCATTCACTGGATCCGTTACACGGTGCAAGAAAATCCAAAAGGGGGATTTAGAAGTTGTGCGTTCACATTTATTATTACACAATGAAGTGAAAGCTGAAGCTCTACCTGCTGTGGGCCTTGCAAACGTTGCTGGAGCTGGAGTCTCAGCTGGTTGGGAGGTAGCCGCAGCTGGTTGGGCACACCAGGAGCTCGATTCATGCCGGGCCGCACCGTCATGCCCACGTTGCCTGGAAACGCCATCCGTGGGGCCCCGAAACCCATGCCCTGTGCTGTGCCCATCTCAGCAGGAAACTGTGAGGGTGAGGTGGGGAACTGAGAGGGGTAGCTGGGCAGCTTGGGGTCCATGGGTACAGGTGTTGGAGGCTGAGACTGAGGAAAGGTCTGGGTGACAGGTTCGAGGCATCCACACTGTAGGTGAGGCAGTAAACCGGTCAAACTTTAGACACACTTTTCTTGCAAATGTAAAAGGTATGAGAAGAATGTTTTTCTAATAATACTAACTTGAACAATCTTGTCGATGCCCAACGCTCTGTCCAGCTCGGCCAACTCACTCTCGTCAGTGCGGCTCAAGAAAGTGACGAGCTGCTCCAGCAGGGCCTTCTCGTCGTTACAGCCCTCAGGTGTGTTGGGTGGACACAGCATCTCATCCAGCGGACATGGAACACACTGCCTGCTTAGAGCATAGGAAAAAATAAAAACGACAGAGGCAGTCTATGATTCTGTGGCTGGTTGCATAAAAGGTTTAGACTAGTCTTAATAGTTAAGTCATCTAATTTTTTTCTTTAAGGCTTGTCAAATTTTTTCAAATTCAGTTACATAAAAACTTGGATTAGTCTAATTTGAATCCAAAATATAAGACTGAATACCCCTTGGCTAACTGCTTGTTGGTCAGACACTGTCTTAATATAGAGGATAAGTTTATGCAACTGGCCCCAGATCATGATGGGAAGAAAGGAACTTTGGGTAAGCGGCTGACAGTAGTGTTGTTTTTGGCGGCCTGTTTTAATTTTAGTTTTAGTCTAGTCTTTGTGTGAAGCTGTCATTTTAGTTTTTATTAGTTTTAGTCACGTTCATACTCTTTTTAGTCTAGTCAAGTTTTAGTCAACTAAAAAAGTCCGAGCATTTTAGTCTTATTTTAGTCAGAATTATCCATGACTATTTTCGTCTAGTTTTAGTCGACGAAAACTGATGACATTTAGTCTAGTTTTAGTCAATGAAAATTGTATTTTAGTCTCTTTTTAGAAATGCAATTCTATTTAACCCAGTCAATATAGTATAAGTACCTAGTAGTATAGACGAAACCAAAATTTTCTTTTAGCCAAACCCATTTCAAACAAGGTTATCTTATTATATTATTGTTACCTTATAGACTCAAGAATACATCCATTCCAGACACGGAAGACGCTCTGATTTGAATTTACAACATTTAATTTATTAACATTAATATTAATGTTATTTATAAACCGAGGTCCTGACTCTCAGTGGTCATTAAAAATCCCATGGCACTTCTCGTAAAGAGTAGGGGTGTAACCCCGGTGTCCTGGCCAAATTGCCCC